TCGACCGATGCGAGTGACAATCGAATGACGAGGTCTGCCAGAAACCGTGACCGCCCCCCCCCCCCCCCCCCACCCCGGGTGTCGACGAAAAAATACGAAAAGGGACGCACGTGAAAATGGTACGGAGTGGTTTACCTGCGATGCTATTTTTACGATAGGTACGCACGCAACCGGTGCGTGGACGTGGAGGAAAAGAGAGAAAGCGGATAGCGCACGGTCGGGAACATTATATACGTGGCTTGGCACCCCTTTCGTCGCCCGCGAACACAATGAGCGGCTTTGTTGAAAATTTCTGCGGGCTTTTGACCCCAGTTTTCCGCGCACAACCACCCAGGCCTGCCCTCTCACCATTTTCGTCCGTGCGTTTCGTTCCCCGATACTCCTGCCGATCGGCTCATACGCCGCTGAGTTCCCATAGGAAGATTCCCGTTTCCCCCATTCAACGCTGATCCCGTGAAATCCGGCTCATTAAATCGCTTGACGTATTTCGAGGTGACGCGTTCGCACGCGTTTGTCAGTCGACTGTCAAAGGCTCTTCTCTACCTCTCTTCCCGCCTCGCGCTCTCTCTCGCCCGATGCATTTGAACCCGTCAAGAAATCAAATCCTCTTGCATCGAACCCCTGACGCGATAATGAATATATTAAATGTAAACAGATTAGGGGACAATTTTCAGGGGGCGAAATTCGTCGTTTACCCAACGAGTACGGTGCTAGAATCATTTCCAAGGCAAACCATCCGGCCACGTAAATTATTCAAACGGAATCGTTACGACTAGCTGAAATCATTTCTAAAGCAGACCGTCAACGTTCGCTTTACCGCCGCTAATGAGGCCGCGAGCACTCGAGGAAACAACTATAAATCGTCGATGCAATTATTGTATCGACCCCGCGGAAAACAAATCTCGTTAAAAGTAAGCAGAGAGAAAGCGGAGTCTGTTAGAAGCGAGGGTAAGTATCGGCCAAGAGAACACTGAAAAGATGAAACACGATGAGGCCCTCGGGAAAGGGATGGGTAAGAGTTACGTAGAACCAGGGAGTGAGAGAGCTAAACATACACGAGGGAACAAAGATCGAAGTCAAATAAAGAGACTCTTTTCCAGATTAACCTTACATAACGAGCGTGGCTTACGAACGTCCGCGTGGAAGATCGATACATCGGGTACATACACCATTTTGATTCTAGTCGCGTGTGGTATCCGCGGCGCTCTCGAGCATTTTCTCTTTATCTCTGTTTGCCTCTACGGCTTACGTCCAGTCCTGCGCTTCGTGCGCGCGTACGAATGAGCGCACTCGAAAAAATGAATACGCGCGCGCTATCCTCGGACAGAACGCGAGAGGGCTTTGATCCTTTGACGAAAGAGAAACGCCCGGTGGACGTCGAACGAGCGAGTTTAGACTCCATCGCGTTTGTCACGGTAAATACCAACGAAGGCTCGTCTCTTCGATCGGTTCATTAACTAACCGGTTAAACTTTTTCCACCGGCAGTTTCACCCGAACGATCGACCCTCGAACGTTCACTATATATGCCAAGATCAAAAGTGCGCGAGTAGGCGCCATTTGTGCGACGCGAAGCGTACGTTCGAGCGTGAGTGCCAAGTATTTGCGACGGAACGGACGGGATTTAGCGAATGTTTAGGTCAGCGCAGGGATGCGCAACTTAAATATTGCCAAAGGCCAACTGCGATCGTAGTCGAGCTATTTGTTTAAGAATACCCTGTCGGTGCGTGACGTTTCCGCGATCGTGGCGAAATTTTACCGTGTTTTCGAGCACGCTGGGACCCGCGGTGACCGCGGTAGGCACGTTGGCCTTACAACGAATCGCCGAGGATTAATTAAACGGCCGTTTTGGTCGCACGACTCGCGTTCGGCCTATGATGGCGAGCTAGCCTCGCGAGCAGGACGATCTAGCGCCGTGATTCCGATTCGCATCGGCAATTCTTCACGCGCACGTACACCGAGACACGCGTATACCCCACGTACTCCCGTTGCTCATTGGAACTATGCTAAATACCGCCTAATGAATACATACGGGTAGCTCTTTGATACAAAGGCGCTCTCTGCTTTACATAAAGCGCGGGCGAACTATTTGCCCTGTGGTCGACAGAATTTCAGCCCGTGCAAGGATCTAATGAACCTTTCGCTTCGTCCGCAGCTTTTGCACGTACTTCGTTCGACCAAAGGATCGGGTCTCGGCGTCCACGCTCGCCCACTAATTAATTAAAATCCACGGACAAAGAATTTGCACCGGTCGCGGTGGCTATTTTCGATAATTGGCCGGATTTCGCGGACATTACTCTTTAACTTCGTCCATACGGCTCGTTTCAACGATCCGCCAACAGCATGCGTCCAAGCCATAATACTATACATGTATTCCTATCGATATACGAAGCATCCTTTTCAGCTATCGGATACGTCGCGGAGGATATTTCCTCCGCAGATCCTGTCACTTAAAACGTCCAAAACGTCCGCGGAGTCCGGTCTCTAATTAATAGAATGCAGATTTATCCACGAGGATGAAAGCCGCGCGAGACACGCACCGAAATCACGTGAACGCGACTTTAAGCCGCTTACGACCACTTGTACAACGACGAAAACCACTTTTCGAGATAAGTTGTAGATCTCTAATCTCTTACTTTAGTCCACCCCACCCTTCTCTCTCGCTTGCCTGCGTTGCCCAATCTCTTATTTCCCTCTTCCCTTTCCTTGTCTCTCGTTAGTCCACGACCGGCGCCGACGGATTAACGCAGCTCGCCGACCGTACGTCGAACATCCCTACGTGTTCCAAAAACGAATCGACTTTTCAAAATTTCGTGGTTGAAATCTCGTCGGATCGCGCAGGATCGCGACTCGGTGGCGGCGACGGAGTTTAATGCAAAGAAACGCCATGGAAAGGAGTGCAAAAAAAAAAAAGTCATTTTTACACGTCGGTGTTCGACAAGCAACGACACTTATCGCGTTTTAATGATGTATCCGTATATTGCCGAAGATACAAAAGAACGCAGTCGATGCATACCTTGCATCGACAGCGCCGAGAAATTGAGGAGAATGAACCCACGGAAATGAAGAGCGTTGGGTTTCATTTCCAACCGTGGAAAAAGCTCCAACCGTTAAGTAATTAATTTCGCGGTGCTGCGAGACTCGTTAAAAATTTGAACAACCAGCCGACCATCGATCGCCACCGCCGCGATACGAGAGTGAATTACTGAATTTTATTTTCCACCCTAGCTACACGCTCCTCTCATATAATTCTAGCTCGAAGAAGCATTCGAGGACCGAGCACGACCACAATGAAACGCTCCTTCTTCCGCGAGATGTACAGGGTGGGGTAATAACGATTAGAACCTCGGATATCTTTAAAACTATAAGTTTCGCAGAAATATTTGCTGAAATAAAATTGCACGGTACGAAAGAGGGCGTCCGGTGGCGATAATAGTTTTCTATGCTCCACCCTAACACCGTCTACCAGGCGCAAATGATCAAATTTTTTAGATGAAACGTACAAACGACGTCTCCGATCCAAAGACTACGGAGTCCCGACGACCCTCCGAACCAGACTTCCAACGTAAGATGATAATATTCGATGGCAATTTGCGCGACACCGTGTTATCGAGATCGTTAAGCGGGTAAAGTGTGCGACGGTACACGAGTTCGCGATGTAGACAGTCCGAAGTCGGAGACGCGGTGAAAACGCATCTACGGTGCAGAATATGGGACGTCTGGGAAATGAATTCGCCGGTTGCCCAGTTGGTGTGGTACTCCGTTAAGTCTCCTACGTGGCTCGAATGCGCTATGAAACAGAAGTTGCACAGTAAGTGCTTCACAGGCGTGCGCTGTACACTTTATAGCTCTTTCGCAGTCGCGACGGAGCTCGAGTCTCGGAATAACGAGTCCAACTGGACGCAGCCAGTTCCCCGTTCCACTCTACTCGTGTTCCCTACAACCTGAACGGGGCAATAGCGTCCCTTTAATAATCCGCAACATTTAACGAGCTCCGAAAGACTATAATTAAAACAATACCGACCGCAAACGACCGCGTAATCCTACCGAATTCGCGCATACGCTGCAAAGCAAGAAATCGTTCGAAAGAACAGATACGTCGCAGAAAAACGACGGACGTGCTATGAACTTGATACCGCAAGAGCCCGGCGAATCCATGGATCGACTGGATCCAACGCGTCGAGGTAGAGATGGAGGTAGAGATTGGCCAAAGAGATCAGCCAAGTGGCCCGTGGTCTCGTGTTTCGCGAACTTTAATCAGACGGCCCAAACTCTCCGTGTATCGCCGGAACAGTGGAATTGACGATACCTATCCCCGCTGGCGGACGATAAAGACAGAAACTCGCGCAAAATCCCCTCAACCGCAGGATCAAGTTCCGCGCTTCGCCGAGGGATGATCACGTCTTTCCATCCTCGCGAAGAATATTCACTCGCGATCGCCTACCGTGCTCGTTTCGTTTCCCGTGGAAAACTTTGATACCGCAGGTACGAATCGAGTGCCGTCCATAGTTCGATCTAATGCTTTCACAATCGAACGCCTAATGTAATTGAACCGAACGCGGAATTACCTTCTATTCTCAGCGTCGAAACTACGCGAAACATCCTATATAGCTGGGAACATCTTGGGATTGGGCGGGAGAGTACGGGATTGACCGACAGCTCGGTAAACTTCGATCAGTGCAGACCAAACTCCACGCGCTCCTAATCCCACTTACTTAATCGCGTCTGTCCCCTCACGTTCGATGTGGACTCGAACTCGCATTCGAACGCTACATCATCAACTAAAACGTTGACTGAAACTGCCCGACGTGTCTCGCCGGCTGCATCCAGCTTCCAACTGTCGGAAGTTTGCATATTTCGGGCACAGAACGCCGCGAAATCGAAGAGTTATTCTTAACCCATGTCTGCGCTCTCGAGTTTGAAAGAACCAAAGTTAGTTTTCCCGGCGACGAACGAAAAGGGACGACGGTCAGAGAGAGTATCGAGAACGTGATTTACTTACTTTTGCTGATTATTGTTGGCGGTGGGCATAGGGGTCGGTACCCTCGGCGGCGGGACCGGTATAGCTTTTCTTCTTTCTCCACCTGTTTGATGTACGGTCGGCGTGACGCGTCCAGTTGGCGCTATCCGACCAGCCGTTCGTGGTCTTTCCGTTCGTACGTCCATCTCGTTTCTGGAAAAAATTCAAAAATTTCCCAGTGGTTAGCCTGGGTACTCGAGAAGTCGCGACTGCGCTTCGCGCGTGTTTTCGAGCCCGGCGCGAATATCGGCGACGCAGTCAATCGCGCGATAAACGAAAGAGCTTGAAACCAAGGGGCTGATGTAACATCGACGGGGAAAAGTCGCGGGGAAACCGACGTAGAGAATAGCCGAGGAAGAGGGGAAAAAGAGGTCCGCGGGCGTCACTTTGGTGGCGAGAGGCTGCTGTGAAAGCGCCTATTGAAACCGTTCGCGGCAGTCTGACGTACGCGGATCATTAATTGAAATTCCGTTACGCAAATGCTACGTACACGTGTACGCTTTCCGCGACACGCACACGGACAGTCGGGCGTCTCGGGACACGGTCGAGTACCGGTGGCAGACTAGATTCTATCGTTTTTATTGAGGCAAATTAGCGGGGGCTATGCGCTTAATTAGGAACGCAGAGCTTGCCGGCGTCGTGTTTCGTTTAGCGCGACCGTTTTTACTTCGGAAAGCGGTGAAAATATAATTGGACAGTCGGGGCTACATTGTTGCGCGTGGCTGGCGAATGAAAACTCGGAGTCGGAGAAATAGCGCGGAATTAACGATGTGTTTAAACAAAGCGACGATTATGAAGCTGGCGTCGCATTGTTTCCGTCGCGCAATTATCGGGAAAAGTTGCTCGGGAAATAATTCTAAAAACATTCAACGATCTAATGCCATTTCGCAAAGCATCGTGCAAACAAAGTGGCTGGGTAACCAGTGAGGGGGAATTTCAGTTTCGTACTTGGCGATCTTTCTGTCTCTGGCTCGTCTCTGTGCGCATTCCGCGCGTTATGCACGCGACTTTCGGGATCGCTCTTTCCAAGTTCACCGCAATCTCTGTGATGTCTGCCTGGCCTACGCGAGCACAAGAGAAAATGGCACTTTTATATCCCAGTTACTAATGCGTCTCGTAATAATTTCGTTTTTTTTCCTCGACTACCTTTTACGTGGCTCGCTACCGCGTCGCAATTCTGGATCGTTCGTACTGCCTCCCGGGAGAGACCGCGCGCAGAGGAATATACCCTTCAGAGTCAGACAATCTATTAGTCGTTTGCCTTGTGCGGTCCGACGTGGTGGCCGGTCGAAAATGTTCCTGCCGTCTTCCACTGTGGTCGTTGATTCGAAAACATCAAATTTCGAAATTCTTTTTTCTTTATCCGTACGTTTCGAGCATAGAATTTTTCTTTTCCCTTTTTCGGCGGGGGGGGGGGGGCACCATTCGAGAAGTTTACGATTCAAAGCACGGGGTAAAATCGCTGTACATCCGATCTACCCGAGTAGAACCCTCGAGATACCTCAGTTATTAAGTAACCGTGAACGTTTTGGATATTGACAAGAGTTAACCTGCCTGTTCCACCAAACCGTACTTCGAAATCGCAAAGCTTCAAAGGATCCTCGAGAGGAGAAGAGTAGCAAGAAAAGGGCTAACTTTACGCGATGCTCGCTCCTGGAGGTCTCTCCGGTGCAAAAGGTCGTGCATGCGTTCGGTGAAACATAACGTATCGCGAACGATGGAGGAGAGTAGGGTGAAGACGAGTCGAAAAGAGCAACTCCTTCAGGAGGCAAGCGGCGTGACGGACACTTGTGCCCTCTCGTGGGATCCATTCTTCGAAATTCGTCGGTGCCGTAACCCGACCGCTCTACCGGAAGAATTGCGAGCTTCCTCAAAACTTTTGCGAAGCTTTTCCATCGCTATCCGTAACGGTAAGAAGACGAAACCATTGCCTGGTTACTTCAACTACAACTCACAGTCTCTCATGTATCTTTCAGAAGACGAGAGATGCGGAAAGGGAAGGCAAGAAATCGGAACCTACGCATCGTCCGTGATCTCAATATTCGTCCAAGTTGCTAAACAAAACCTTGATTAATACCGAGAGGGTCGCGCGCCACCCGCTGCCAATTGCCTCCAATTAAGTAGCGATGTGCTTTAAATCGGCGCGCCGCAAATCTTGTTCTTCGAATTAATGTCACGATGACAATAGCACGCGAACGGTTCACTTCCTCGTTGGTCCACGAAGGCGTACGCACACTCTCCCAACAGGATGTTCAATTCATCGCGGAATTAACTCCTTTAACGCGCACCACGACCACGACGTGTTCCGATATTTCGATTCTCAATTATCGCATTTTGCGTGTTCCGTATGTTTTCCGCGTTAGCGTATTCCACAATTGCGTTGAATCTGCAATCCAGTTGTTTCCTGGTCAACAGTCGTTCCGTTGCTAGCACGGCTCGACGTCGAAAATGCGCTGTTTTTAATCCGATACACGTATCAAGTATATTATCCCGTACTTGGTTTCAGGTAACGCAATACGTCGCTTCGACTCTGGAACAATTCTACAGTCGATTCTCGATGGTGGCAATTCAACTGTCATGTCGATCGAATCAAGGTTCGACGGACGATACCTCCGACACGTTTAGACGAACTGTACCCAGCGCGAGTACAATGAGCTCATTAAGCCTGAATGCGATTCAATTATGCAGGCCAATCGATGCGAATTCTCTTCTGGACGTCTTCGAAGCGAACGGTCAGCCACGGGCAGGACATCTTTAAGAGGGGCTGTCTCTCGTCTTTGGACGAAAAATATTCTTAAACAGCTCGTACATGTATTTTAATTTTACTTATTCGCTTCGTCTCGAAACTATCGCCTTCGATCTCCGAACGGTTCTGCGTCGATAGATCGGATCGATAGAACGGAACGTTTCGGCATAAACGGAAACGGGGTACCCCGCGAAACAGGCCTCGCAGCGATTCCGCGTGTCTCACCCTCGCCGGGGTGGGACACAATCGAAGCAAAGAAAAGGACATGGTTCGCGCAATCTCTCGAACGTGAGTGCAACATTGTTGTCACGGATACTTTGCCCTCTCTCACAAAGAACAGATGGAGGAGCAGGATGATGCTGTTGGGTACGACCATTATTTCTCGGGCGTTCGTTGCGCCAGCGTGACGGGGACGCCGGGAAGACAATGCGCGTAGGCAAGTTGGTTAAAATATGCAGCCCCCGGCGTGCGTGGATTCGCGCGTTTTGTGTTTACGCGGATACATCAACGAACGCGAGGAACGGTCACGGGGAGGGAGCGAGAGATCGCGTATTCGCGAGCCTCGGTCGTGTATTCGCAAATAAACGGGAACGTGTGCACGACGACATCTACACACAGGTGGAAAGAAAAAAGAAAATCCTGTCGCTGCTGGTCGACGCGGCGCAGACGAGGGCTCGCGACGAGGGAGGTCAGAGGAGAAGGATAAAGGGACGGAGGCAAGAAAGGGTGGCGAAAACAAACTCCTGCCGCGGCAGAGGCCCCGCACAATGGGGGGGCATCTGCTTAGCAAATTGCGAAAAATAATCACGTTTGCCCAGGATACGTGAACGCCAGAACGTAGGCATCTCGGAAGCTGTTGTGTCCCGTAACACAATAACACCTACTCGAGGGCCGACAAACGCGTTCGCGAGGGTGTGCCGAGCCGCCTTTGGAAAGGCATAAGGGAAAATGCACTTGTGCATACACGAGACGACGGGGGAGGAGGGAAAAAAAATGAAGCGACGTATTCCTGCCGGTATATCCGCGGAAACAATGTATCGCGCACGAAGCTACGAAAAAGTTCGTGCTCGTGCATCCATCGTTCGCGACTCGTCGGAGCCACCCTTCTCCCTTACGACGATGGCAGGATCTCTTTCTCGCCCTCTGCCCTTCGCACTCGCGCCGATGAACGCAACGCCGTCGACGATATCGAAGGATTTTCTTCTCAACGCTACCCAGTTCGTTTCTCGTTTCGCGTCTCTCGTGGCGGTAATTATTTCGACGGTCCATTACGTTGGCAAGCAAGTTGCGCATTATCGATATTATGGAAATTGCGACGTTCGCATTCGACGTTCTCCCTTCCCGCCGGAAGAAAATCGTTTCAAAACGATTCACGAACGCCCGATATACTCGACTACCGCCTAGACAAATGTTTTTCTTGCAAGCAAATGTTTCTGAAAACTCTATCCCCGTTAAGGATTAAACACACCGATGCGAGTCCGTGACGCGACTCGTCTCGTGATTTGACGTTGCGTTTAAACTTCCTTACGCGTTCTTCGATCGTGGCGGGGAGATAGATCCGTACTTGTCCGGATTCTACGCAGAACGAATTACAGGCTGCAGCGAATCGATCGATTAATTCCTTTCAATGGAACAGTAACGAAGCAATCTGTGTCACTCTCGTACCAAGCTGTTCTCCCCATTTGTTACGTACCGCGAACACGAACGATTCGAGGCACAAGTACAAGGATATCACCCGACAAAAAATATTTCCCCGTTCGCGTGATCGTCGCGGGACCATCGAAAATTTATCGTCGAACTTTCGCGCTGCAGCGATGCCGTCGAGCTGTCGATTTTTTTTAATCCTCGATGCGACTGTACTGGTAGAGAACAAGATATAAGCCACGCGTGGAGGTCTTGGAAATCGCTGTACGTTTAAGTAACGAGAAAAGAGTACGGAAAAAGTTTGGTCGATGACAGACCAAAATGAATTCGTGTTTAGAACGATACGATCTAAAGTATTTAATTTGCCGTGAAGCGTTGGATAAAGTTTACAATGGAGAAAATGCGATTCCTCAAATTTCCAACGGGAACATGAATATACATTACGTGCAGAATATCAAAGCAGGTGATCGTTTATACGTAATGAGCATGTTAGGTATCGCACAACGTTGCTCGAAAATCGATAACTCGTGTTGCAAATGGCGCAGATTAGCCGTAGAAATCAAATTCACAATTTGTGTAGGTAAATCGTGCGATGAATTTTTTTTTATCTTACCGAGATGTACAAACATGGATGCTTCGTTAAAGGTAAAAATTGAAATATACCTATCGGAGGGTTATTTGCTAAACAATTCAAACAGTTGCAACAGTCGACGAAAGTACGCAGCTACATATCATCGAAATCGAGGTCGGTAATTGAATTCGA